GGCGGGGTTGCTGTGCCGCCCTCCTGGGGTAGAGGGTGGGTGCTTCCTTACTTCCCCCTCTCTCCCTGTTTCTGACAAGCACACCTGCCCTGTAACAAGAGCATGTGAGAAAAGAAAGTTTCAAAGAGTAGGCGCCTTCATTAGTCATCCAGTGCGGCCTTTGGGTGGGGCTGAGAAGTCCGGGTCTTCTGACCCCCGCCGCCCCCTCGAGGGTGGCCCCGTGTGCCTTACCTTACTGAGCACACCTCGGCGAAGGCCTGCTGGGGTCTGACTGTCCAGTAATGCCCCTTTCTTCTCTTTGTGCCATTCCAGCACCCCCCGTTGGCTCTGGACCCTAAATTGTCGCAGCTATTTGCTTGGTAATCTCCTGGCCTATGTCGTTAGGGGTAACCGAAGGCAGCTGATCGCTTAATTGTGGAAGCCGGAAACCTGGCTCTTTGATTAGCTCCATCATGTTCTCAAGAGCGGTAAATATTCGGCCTCGTCAGCTTTCCCGTCCTTTCTAATTCAAAAGCAAACTCCGGGGCCCTCACCACGGTATTAGCTGGAGGGCTGTATACGGAAGGACCGCACAGTAAACACAAGTGGAGCATTTTTACAGTCCTGACAGATCATCTGTGGAGGGTGGATCAATGGTGTCTTTGAGACGTGATCGTTTTTTTCCTTTGCTTAAAAGCAGCTTGAAAGTGCTCCAGCCCAGCTGTTGTGCCCCAGCGGTAATGCCAGTGCCCCGCAAGGCTGCTGGCCAGACGGCTGACTGGGTTCCAACCCCTGGGTCGGCCCAACTACATACCAGGGGCTCACGCCTGCGGGGGTCCTGGATCCAGAGGAGCTGCAGGGCTGGGACGAGCCTTCTACAGGTGCTCCCTCCTTCCACCCTCCCACGCACTGTCATAAAAAAAAGCATTCCAGGGACCAACAGGTGCGTAGTGCTTAAGGTTCTGGACTCCCACATAGCCGGCTGTAGTTCGAGTCCCAAACTGGCAGCTTGAAAAGCACACTGGCTGTGTGTGCGTGCATGCTCCAAATCCCAGGAAGATGGAGGAGGGGGGCTTGCGTATGGCCTTCCCCCCAGGGTGGGGGGCTTCTCACTTTCCCTGTCTCTGCCTCTCTTTATTCCTGGAGAGTGCATGTCCTATGGCAAAAACCTTAAAAAAACAAAAACAGCATTCCATGTTTTCTTTTTCATTTTTAACATATCATGGAGAATACTCAAATACATGGAATTGTGGCTACCTACTATTCATATCAAGCAGATTTGACTTTTCAATGGGCCTGCTTCCTTACATAACAGTGATTTTGAACTAATAGGTAATTCAATCAAACATCCCCGTTCAGTTGTTTATACGAGTTATAGGGCTTTCAGGAACTTAATTTACTTTTACAGCCGCTCCGCTCAGCTATAGTTGGGGTTAAGCCCTGTGTGTGGGGAGCTGAACCCTGCATGACTGACTGCGGTTCACAGCCAAGCCCTGGGAGCTTGAGAAACGTCCCTGGGTCCATGCGTGAGAATGCCCTGCAGCCTTGTGAGATGGAGAAACGGGGGAGAGGGATCGTGACACACGACACTCAGCGGGGGGGTGCTTTCTCTCTGCCACCCCCTGGGAAACATACACAACTTCTGGCAATTAAAAAAAAAGATTTCCTGGGAACCAGCAGTTAGCGTAATGGCTATGTGGCTGGACTCCCACATAGTCGACCGCAGTTCGAGTTCCGGACCCGGTGGCTTAAAACTCACACCGGGCACGTGTGCGTGCGTGCCCAAGTCCCCGAGAGGAGAATGGAGGAGAAAGGATTGCGGCATGACCATCCCTCCTGGGGGGTGATTTCTTGCTTTCTGTCTCTCTGTCTTTCTCTGTCTGTCTGGCGAACGCACGCGCCCTATAGCAAAAACCTCTCCAAAAAGAAGAAGAAGGAAAAAAAAGATTTCCTTTCCTCTCCCTCCCACTAACTTCATGTTTGGTTTTTCTAATACAGAGGCTATGAGAACCTAATACCAAAGCAACCAGCTGACACATCCATGTAATTACCGGTTATTTCATCTGTACATCGTGAAACTAGAAGTTGGCATGATTTTATTTTTCACCTGCTTGGCAGTTTTGTTTTGTTTTGTTATATTTCTTTGGACTGAAATGATCTGTTGATTTGGTATTGTGTAAACCAAGCCCAATTCCACAGTACCTCTGTGACTGTTAGGCAAAAGAAAAAGAAAAGGAAAAGAAAAGAGAAAAAACAAATGAAGAGTGAAAAGGATAATTAAGTTGCAAGACAGGAGACCGAGTTTGTTCTAGCTTTGTCACCCATCAGTTACGTGACCTTAGGCAGGTCATTTCTCCTCCCAGGGCCGCCACTTCCTCAAATGTACAGGAGGAGGCTGGGCCAGCAAGTGCCTTGCAGTCCGGGCTTTACGGATTCAAGTTTCCCAAGAAATCAGCGAACACTTTTTGTTAGCTCAGGCAAAGGAATCATCTTTTTTTTTTTGAGAGGTTTTTGCTATAGGGCGTGTGCACTCACCAGACAGACAGAGAGAGACACAGAGACAGAAAGCGAGAAATCACCCCCCAGTGGGGATGGCCATGCCACAATCCCTTCTCCTCCATTCTCCTCTCGGGATCTTGGGCATGCTTGCACACGTTGCCTGGCATGAGTTTTAAGCCACCGGGTCCGGGACGCGAACCGCAGTCGACTACATGGGAGTCCAGCGACATAGCCATTATGCTAACTGCTGGCCCCAAGCCATTGGGTCTTGACCTTGAACTGCCCTGGGCCATGTGGTAGTCCAGCGTTGTAACCACCACGCCACCTGCTGGCTGTGCCTACGTCATGTGCCACTACGGCTGAGCCTTTTTTCCGTTTTCTTATTACAAGTTGTTACTTGTCGCTTAAGGGAAAGTTAGCAAATACAAATGACCAGGATGAAGAAAGTTTAATTTTAATTTTATTTTTATATTTTTATTGTCAGAGGATGCATGAGTTCTCCAGAGAGACACATAGAGAAAGCGCACCTTCTCTCCGCAGTGGGGTGTGGTCACGCAGCAATCCGTTTCCCTCTATTCCTCCTTCCTGTCAGGATTTTTGTCACAAACGCACACACATTTGCCATGTTTTTCCAAAGTTGCCAGGTCAAGATGCGAATCGCAGTCGGGCCACGTGGGATCCAGTCCCTTATGCATTGTGCTTAATTGCTCTGCGATGGGGCCGGCCCAGAGAAAAGAAACTTTAAGTCACCCGAAACCCAAGATGTAGCCAATGTCAAAATGGCAACCTGTTCCTGAGGCAGGAGAAAGCAAGTGAAGTGGGTAAGGGTGCTGGGGCATCTGTCTATGTGGCCAGATAGAAAGGCCCGATAGGGTCATGCAGGCCAAGACGAGCAGGGGCTGTCTAGCTGTTGAAGCCACATTTGACACAGACAGTGAGAAGTCAGTGGGCCCAGCCACATCTGGTGGAGCAGTGAGGGGAACAACCAGCGGCCCAGCCAATGACCAACCACCAGACCTAGATTAAGAATGATAAATCTCGGGACCAGCAGTTAGCGTAATGGCTATGTCGCTGGACTCCCATGTAGTCGACCGCATTTCGCGTCCCGGACCCGGTGGCTTAAACTCACGCTGGGCACGTGTGTGTGCGTGCCCAAGATCCCGAGAGGAGAATGGAGGAGAAGGGATTGCGGTGTGGTCATCCCCCCCGGGGGGTGATTTCTCGCTTTCTGTCTCTCTGTCCCTCTCTATCTGTCTGGCAAGTGCACGCGCCCTACAGTGAAAATCTCTCCAGAAAAAAGATAAATCTTGCAGAACACAACTGCCGGGGCCTTTGGAGTCCCTCTTTCTCTGTCCTTTAGCCCTGCTGCTACCGCAGGAGTGCACTTTCACTTCTAATAAGCCACCTTTTCCTTTCACTATTGGCATGCGTGTGCAAAGCAGCAAACCTGGACCGCAGAAGCCGTCCCGCCACAGTTCCTGGTTGGTAAGCAGCGTCTGAGCTCACTCAGTTCCCACGCGACTCGTGTTTACCAAGCGTGAGGTTGTTCCAGCACGACTGACGTCATCGTCAAGTTGAACATAATGTGAACTTGGTTTCCCTCGTGCACAGTTTTATCTGTGCGGTATACTAGGCGAACACAAATCTGCCAGCTGAACTAGACCTCACAGAAACACACACGTGAACCCCCCACCCCGCCCAGGGCAATGCCACCGGGGTTACAGCTTCTTACCGACTTCAGATCTCTTCAGCCACTGCCCGGGAACAGGCAGACTGCGTCTTCTGCCTCGGCGCCCAGCCCGGCCCGCCCTGCCCTCTGGCTTCCCTCCCCTCGGCAGGTTGGTGTCCCTCCGCTCTGGTTCGGGCTCTGTGTCCTTCCTCCCTATTCGTCGTTTGTTCTCCCTCCACACGGGGTACAGGCATGAGCACTCAGTGGGAAGTCTGGAAGGCAAGCACGCCCTGGCTTCCACTAGCAGACTGCGGGTTTCCCCCTCCCAGGTAAAGGTGCTGTATTATAAAACACACCCCTAACGTGTGTAAAACTGCCCAGTTGTTTTCATGAAGGTTTCCCCCCTGGTTTTTGCTATAGCGCGTGTGCACTTGCCAGAGAGAGAGAAAGAGGGAAAATGGAAAATTGCTCCCCGGGGGGTGGCCACGCTCCAGGCTTTTCTCCTTCAGTCTCCTCTCGGGATTTTGGACACACGTGCACACACATCTGTTGTGGTTTTCAGGCTGCTGGGCCCAGGATCTAAACTGCGTGGTCGGCCGTGTGGGATCCAGCTTCCTTAACCTCCACACCACTTGCTGTCCGTATTCTGCTTAACCAGCTCTGACTGAGTTTTGACGATTGTGTCTCAACCCCGTTTCCTTGTAGTTTTTACTTCCCAGTGTTTTATATTGTGGTCATTTCACCCTGAGCAATTGCATAATAATTAATAAGTAAATAATAAAAGAACACTAAAACAATTTAATAATTATATAAGTGATTGTTGAATTAAACCATAAATTCCCGTTTTTGTTAGATTGCAACTCTGAATCCAGGTCCTGTTAGTATTCTACGTGAGGAAGTGAGTACTCGAGACGTTTCTGCTGCATGCTGAAGTCACGGCGGACACCAGGAGGGGAACCCGTGAGCGATGATTTGAGTTTCCAGCCCAGTTTCTCTCTTCCGGTTTCCAATACGGCGAATATCAATAAATACAGCCCCACCTAAACAAAAGCCTTGTGGTGCACTCAAAACATTTTCAGGTGTCGAGGGTCCCGCCCCCGTGTCTGAGAACACCGCTAATCCAGTGACTTGTTGGAGCACTTGGGTGTGCATCCTCATAGCTCGCGGATGAAGTTCCCTTCGTACCAATTCTCAGAAATGCAACTTCTGAGTCTGAGTGAATACTGTTAAAAGATTTTATCTACCTTGTACCAAACTGCCCTCCGGAGTGGTACCGATTTATATTCTTATCATTAGTATACAAGTATTCCCATTTATTTTAGGCCGAATCCTTCCAACATCCCGGGTCACTGAACACCAGCTACGGTTGCAGAACTTGGGACCAACTTAAAGCGTTCCCAATTTTTAAGAAATAGTTGAAGCTTCTTTACTTTGAATTTTAAAATAGCTTTGAGATATACTTATTGATGTTATCAGTAAGTTCATCGCAGGAGATTGAACCCCCTCGCTTTGACTTTCTCTGATAGGGAAACACAAAAAGGACATCGCGAATCTACAACAGGACTCCCAAGTTCAAGGCTTGGTCGACACCCTAGAAGGTATTTTTAAATGCTGCTGTGGTCAGAGACACTGAGTTATTAGTTCAAAGTTTTTCTTTTGTTAAATTGTAGACTGTACATTTCTTAGAGTAGGAACGTAAGGAAATTGCTCTCTGGCCCTCCTTACACGAGCCTCTCCCTTCCTAACTGGACCACTTGAGTCCACATCCTCAAGCAGGCTTTGCTAGCAAGCTGTGGTCTCTCCAGGAACGGAGAGGAGGTTGACAACGGAGTTACTGAAACAAAGCCGCTCTTTGGTTCTTCCTGTTTTCCTACTCTTTAATTAACCCGTAGGTGGGTTTAAAGTCTCTTCTAATTTCTCTCACATGCTTTCTGGTTGCTTTTATTGTGTAATATGCTATAGGGAATAATTTTGTGCAAGTATATGGGGCAGCACCTGAGAACCTCAGGAATTCTGAAAGGACAACTTCATGGAACTTCTTGATGCTTCTGGGCTTGCTTAACAGCCAGGCATCTAAAGCAAAGCCATTGATTGCACACTCAGGACATAAACTAAAAACGAATTTGTTGGGACCAGCAGTTAGCGTAATGGCTATGTCGCTGGACTCCCATGTAGTCGACTGCGGTTCACGTCCCGGACCCAGTGGCTTAAAACTCCCGCCGGGCGTGTGTGCGTGTGTGCCCAAGATCCCGAGAGGAGAATGGAGGAGAAGGGATTGCAGCGTGGTCATCCCCCTAGGGGGTGATTTCTCGCTTTCTGTCTCTCTGTCTCCTTCTGTCTTTTTGGCATGCTCCTTATAGCAAAAACCTCTAAAAAAAAATAAAAAGAATTTGTTCACTACAAACTGGGTGCATCTTAAAATGGAATATTATGCAGCTACGAATAAGAACAAAGAGGCCCCTTTGAACAAACATGGAGAGAAATTCCTTATTCATTTTTCTGAGTGAAAAAGGGCAAGGTTCCAAATAGTGTGTACAAGATAACCACCCTCTTTTAACATTTTATGTAAAATGAGTAGAGAGACAGATATATATCTGTACTTGCTTCTTTCTGCCTTAATCCGAGAATCCAGCAGTAATCTGGGCAAGTGGAAAGGAACCAGGCAGGTCGAAGACAAGGGCAGATGTGACACTTTCACTGCGTATCTTGTTTGTTTTGAACATGTGTATGTATTGTTCTCTTAAACATTGATAATCATATTTTCCAGTGACTTGTTGGAGCACTTGGGTGTGCATCCTCATAGCTCGCGGATGAAGTTCCCTTCGTACCAATTCTCAGAAATGCAACTTCTGAGTCTGAGTGAATACTGTTAAAAGATTTTATCTACCTTGTACCAAACTGCCCTCCGGAGTGGTACCGATTTATATTCTTATCATTAGTATACAAGTATTCCCATTTATTTTAGGCCGAATCCTTCCAACATCCCGGGTCACTGAACACCAGCTACGGTTGCAGAACTTGGGACCAACTTAAAGCGTTCCCAATTTTTAAGAAATAGTTGAAGCTTCTTTACTTTGAATTTTAAAATAGCTTTGAGATATACTTATTGATGTTATCAGTAAGTTCATCGCAGGAGATTGAACCCCCTCGCTTTGACTTTCTCTGATAGGGAAACACAAAAAGGACATCGCGAATCTACAACAGGACTCCCAAGTTCAAGGCTTGGTCGACACCCTAGAAGGTATTTTTAAATGCTGCTGTGGTCAGAGACACTGAGTTATTAGTTCAAAGTTTTTCTTTTGTTAAATTGTAGACTGTACATTTCTTAGAGTAGGAACGTAAGGAAATTGCTCTCTGGCCCTCCTTACACGAGCCTCTCCCTTCCTAACTGGACCACTTGAGTCCACATCCTCAAGCAGGCTTTGCTAGCAAGCTGTGGTCTCTCCAGGAACGGAGAGGAGGTTGACAACGGAGTTACTGAAACAAAGCCGCTCTTTGGTTCTTCCTGTTTTCCTACTCTTTAATTAACCCGTAGGTGGGTTTAAAGTCTCTTCTAATTTCTCTCACATGCTTTCTGGTTGCTTTTATTGTGTAATATGCTATAGGGAATAATTTTGTGCAAGTATATGGGGCAGCACCTGAGAACCTCAGGAATTCTGAAAGGACAACTTCATGGAACTTCTTGATGCTTCTGGGCTTGCTTAACAGCCAGGCATCTAAAGCAAAGCCATTGATTGCACACTCAGGACATAAACTAAAAACGAATTTGTTGGGACCAGCAGTTAGCGTAATGGCTATGTCGCTGGACTCCCATGTAGTCGACTGCGGTTCACGTCCCGGACCCAGTGGCTTAAAACTCCCGCCGGGCGTGTGTGCGTGTGTGCCCAAGATCCCGAGAGGAGAATGGAGGAGAAGGGATTGCAGCGTGGTCATCCCCCTAGGGGGTGATTTCTCGCTTTCTGTCTCTCTGTCTCCTTCTGTCTTTTTGGCATGCTCCTTATAGCAAAAACCTCTAAAAAAAAATAAAAAGAATTTGTTCACTACAAACTGGGTGCATCTTAAAATGGAATATTATGCAGCTACGAATAAGAACAAAGAGGCCCCTTTGAACAAACATGGAGAGAAATTCCTTATTCATTTTTCTGAGTGAAAAAGGGCAAGGTTCCAAATAGTGTGTACAAGATAACCTCTTTTAACATTTTATGTAAAATGAGGAGAGAGACAGATATATATCTGTACTTGCTTCTTTCTGCCTTAATCCGAGAATCCAGCAGTAATCTGGGCAAGTGGAAAGGAACCAGGCAGGTCGAAGACAAGGGCAGATGTGACACTTTCACTGCGTATCTTGTTTGTTTTGAACATGTGTATGTATTGTTCTCTTAAACATTGATAATCATATTTAAAAAGAACTGTACCTGCGTTCAGAAAACAGACTCGTGACTATTAATAGCATGTGCTAAAGCTGGTTCCTGAGGTGAGGAAGCACATGTTACAGTTTCTATGTGACTCGCGATGCTGGGCTCTCCCTCCCCCATGTGTGCAGCAGGCGGGCCCTCCCTGGGGAGGAGGATGTGCATCTCCCTCTCCCGGGCAGACCGGGCTGCCTGCCGCACATTCTTCAGCTGTCTGGGTCATGTCGGAAACGGTTGTGGGTTCTGGCACTGTCCCCAAGGTGAGCTGTCCCTGACGGGGGTGTCAGGAAAAGCCCTTTGCAGAGCTGGCGAGGCAGCCCCTCGCTTCGGGGCATGATGAAGATGCGACACTGGGGCAGTAGAAAGCCCGTTCCGAAGGTTCGCATTCCAGGACTGTGCTCAGATGACAAGGCCACTGTATTCACCACCCCCGGCCAGGTCCGAAACTGGTTCATGTTCCAAAACCTTAGACTAGTTCAGCAGCACCTGTCGAGATTGAAGTAATTGATTCTGTGAGTATTTTGTTTTTCTGCTGCCAGGAACTCTGGCATATGGCATTCCCCTAAGCCGTGAAGAAGGGAGGCATCGTGGGAGAGAATAAGGAATGCACATTCATTGATATGTTCAGCAGCTCCATCTGAAGATGCACCTCGAAGCCCTCAGTCCTGCGGCTTCCCAGCTGTGCTCAGGGCGGACTGCATTTCCCGTGTCTGCCCCACGTACTCCAGTAACGCCAGGGCGCTGGGGGCACCAAGCTCTGCCGTGACAGTGATAAGAATCACGCGAGATGCTGCAAATACGGATTCCTGGACCCCGCCTACGCCCTGCCCGGAAATCTGCTTTGTAACAACTGCCTCAGATAATTCTTATCTGGCAAGTTTGGGAAACATTGCATTTTAGAATCTTAAGAGGAAAGTGATGTTTTTATTCTGTCTTGGGGCTAACTTCACCTGGAATGAGAAATGTCACAGTCTGGAAAGGAACAAATGTTCTCTGTACTTGGGATGCCACTGCCGATCAAACCTGTGAGTGTACGTTAATGGTCTTTTGGCTTTAGTAATGACTCATATAATTATAATATTTGGCTATTCC